CTCCCTTTCTTTTACTGCTATCTTTATCTATGTCTGTTTATGATACTGAAACAAGCGATTTTGGCGTAGCTACTTTTGATGAAAAGGGGAGGACAAGTGATCTACTTTGGACCTCTCGGTCGCAATTCTAAGAAGCTAATCGAATATTTTGAGGTAATTCTTGGTGTATGAAACACTTTCGTTTTTACCAAAACTGTGATATCCCACATTGGTTAAGGAGGAGAACGAAACATCCTTACCTAGCAGACGTGTTTTAAAGCCTTGAGGGGAAGCTCGAAAGGGAAAACTCAAAGAGGATAATATTTGCTAGCGGTGGGTTTGAGCCGTTACAAATGGTATCAAAGCCAGACACCGGGCGATGTGCCAGCGAGGAGGCTATTCCCCGAAGGGTGGTAGACACGAGGCGGTGTGCCAGAAGGACGCTGGGCCCGAAGGGGTGTGAATTTGGTAGGGGTTCCACATCAATTGGAGAAAGGAACGAGTGCTAACGAAGACGCTGGGCCCTGAAGGGGGGTGGATTGTGATATCCCACATTGGTTGGGGGAGGAGAATGAAACACCCTTTATAAGGGTGTGGAAACCTTTCTTTAGCAGACGCGTTTTAAAGTCTTGAGGGGAAGCCCGAAAGGGAAAGCCCAAAGAGAATAATATCTGCTAGCGGTGGGCCTAGGCCGTTACAAAAACCGAGAATCAATTGACTTATTTTGGACTCGCTCATTGCAGGCTGTTCCGGGAGTGTCGAAAATTAAGGAAAAGTACAATCCGGCCGCCTGGATGCTGGAGGTTACCTCAGTAGCAGCTGAAGTTCAGCTTAAAATGGACTTCGCTGAACATTACAGGGCATCATCTTTATATCAGTGAGTCAATATTCATGCAAATTATAAATTGTGGTTACTAAAAGTTAAGAGGTAGATAAATATGGATTATGGCTAATAAACAGGCGAAATAAGGCATTAGTAAAGGAGTTAAGCACACCACCACCTGGATCAGTAGACCTCTATTTTGCTTCTCAATACTCCCAAACCATGTGGGGGCAGTTCAAATCTTGCCTGTGGAAGCAGTCATGGACGTACTGGAGGAGTCCTGATTACAACCTTGTTAGGTTTTTTTTCACTTTAGCTGCTTCCCTTATGTTGGGAACCATTTTCTGGAAAGTTAGCTCCAAAATGTAAGTGTTTCCATAAGCCACTTATATAGAACCATGCTTTCTTGTTCATAATACTGATTTGTTTGGTGTTTTTCATTCTAAACTTGGCTTAGGGATGGAGTACAGGATCTAAACACGATTATTGGAGCAATGTATTCTTCTGTCTTGTTTATTGGAGTGAACAACTGCTCTACCGTACTGCCAGTAGTCGCTACCGAAAGAACCGTGTTTTATCGAGAGAGAGCTGCGGGGATGTATTCTGCATTACCTTATGCCCTTGCTCAGGTATGCTGATGGCTTCCAATATATAACTTGAAGTTCATTCTATAATAGCCCAACTCATCGCTAGCAGATACTATCCTCTTTGGGTTTTCTCTTTCGAGTTCCCCTCAAGGTTTTTAAAATGCGTATGCTAGGGAGTGGTTTCCACATCCTTCTAGAGAATGCTTTGTTTTCCTCCCCAACTGATGTGGGATCTCACAATCCACCTCTCTTTGGGGCCCAATGTCCTTGCAGGCATTCGTTCCCTTCTTGAATCGATGTGGGACCCCCCAATTCACCTCCCTTTGGAGCTCAGTGTCCTAGTTGGCATACTGCCTCGTGTCCACCCCCCTTCGGGGCTCAATCTTCTCGCTGGCACATCGCCCGATGTCTGGCTCTGATGCCATTTTTAATAGCCCAAACCGCTAGTAGATATTGTCCTCTTTAGGCTTTCCATCAAGGTTTTTAAAACATGTCTGCTAGGGAGAGGTTTCCACACTCGTATAAATAATGTTTCGTTCTCCTTCCCAACCAATGTGGAACCTCACAATTCCCCCCCTCTTTGGGGTCCAGCGTCCTTACTGGCACTCGTTTCCTTCTCCAATCAATGTGGGACCCCCCAATCAACCCCTTTGGGGCCCAATGTCCTTGTTGGCGTACCGCCTCATGTCCACACCCTTCAGGGCTCAACCTCCTTACTGGCACATCGCCCGATATCTGGCTCTGGTACCATTTGTAACAGCCCAATCTCATCACTAGTAAATATTGTCTTCTTTGGGCTTTCCCTTTTAGGCTTCCTCTCAAGGTTTTTAAAACGCGTCTGCTAGGCATAGGTTTCCACACCCTTATAAAGAATGTTTCATTCTCCTCTCTAACCGATGTGGGATCTCACACATTCTCTCAAAACAATCTCTCAGAACAAACAAGTGATGAATACATAACTCACAAAGTTCTTTCAATGCAGGTGATAATCGAAATACCATACGTCTTCGTCCAGACAGTTTACTATACTCTCATCGTATATGCAATGGTTGACTTTGAGTGGACAGCTGCAAAATTCTTCTGGTTCTTCTTTGTCAACTTCTTTACCTTCCTCTACTTCACATATTATGGCATGATGACAGTTTCTGTCACACCAAACCACCAAGTTGCCTCCATTTTAGCAGCAGCTTTCTATATACTCTTCGTTCTCTTCTCTGGCTTCTGCATCCCAAGACCAGTAAGTATATTTCTATTTTATAAACACAATTATGAAGAACTAAATTTAAACTTTTTAAACAATAAGAATTGGAAGAACACCCAATTCATTCATGCATTCTGATGCTCTTGAAATTTCAGAAAATCCCAAAATGGTGGATATGGTATTACTGGATTTGCCCATTGTCATGGACTGTATATGGGATGATTGCATCCCAGTATGGTGATGTAGAGACTCTTATCAAAGTGCCTGGAGCAAAAGACACAACAGTCAAATCATATATTGAAGACTATTATGGGTACCACTCAGATTTTATGGGCCCTGTGGCTGCAGTTCTGGTGGGCTTCACAGTCGTCTTTGCCCTTCTCTATGCACGGTGCATTAAGACAATGAACTTCCAAACAAGATAGGTACGCTTATACGTTAGCCTTCATACATTCATCATCATTGACATTATTTAGGGATGTGTCATTCTGAAAACTACAGAGACCTCATGCATATTGTGTGTTTATATACATCGAGTTACTTCCTTATTTATGATAATGAGTACGAACTCGTACACTGTGATGATGATGGTGATCATGTCTTGCATAATATTCAAGGGTTTATTGACCTCTAGACGTCCTACTACGGACAACTAAACCCGACTCATTTATAGAACTGTATGAGAAATTTTGGAGGAGGGGATACCAATCTTCTAGTCTTGGCTTCATCTTTGGCTATCAAAATTTCATCAATTATGGCTCTTTGTTGCTCCATTTTCCTCTTTTCAATCATTGGTATCATTGAAATGGCTGTGTTGCTTATAAAAAGGGTTTGAAAAATGGTTTCATTTGATCAGATCTGCGGGCTGAAAGATGGTGCTGCTGCTGCCGACGACTACATTGCTAAATGGGCCACGAAGAATTCTGTCTCTCAATGTTGGGAGAGGAATATTCCAAATTGGCTGCAAGAATTGGTCAATATTCAAACGCCTTTCCTGGTTCTTAATTAATTCGAACGTAGTTTACTGAATCTGTTCTTGATCGGTTTAAGCTTATATTATTATCAAGAAAGTTGTTTCCGTGGTTCGATTTTCCAATCTTTTATTGGACAAATAGGGAGCTAGGGATATAATATTACGAGATGGAATTCACTTATTCCCATATAAAGTAAGTATACGAGTACTTTAAGTACTAATTTAACAAATTGTTCTGAATCATTAGCACTTAAAGTATAAGATGTAATTATAAGGGCAAAAAAGATTTTTAACTCGATTGTAGTTATAAACAACTCGGGAAGGATTGACTTATTTGTAATGGTTATATCACTGAACACAATTTATCTATTTTATCATAGAATATACTTGAAACTCTTGGGTACATAGTAAAATATATTACCAAATAAAATCGAATGATTAATTACACGTTCATAAATTAATTTAGTTGAAATTTTTTTTGAAACGTTTAAATAAATATTTAGATATATTAAATATAAAGGAGAAATATATTTAATATGAAGTATTCAATATATTAAATATTATAAAATATAAGAGGGAAATATATTTAAGCATTATATTTTTTATAAATTTTAAATTTAATCATTCAAAATTAAGTTTTATTAAATTATAAATAGTAATAATAATAATTTTTATGTAAGAAAAATATCATATAAATAAAAAATAATAATAAAGATTAAATCTAAGACTTATTAAAAAATATATAGAATAAATTTGTAGTATATATTTAACAATTAATTAAAAAATTGCACTAAAAAAAAAGAGAGAAATTATTTGCTTTTATTCTACAAAAAAAAAAAAAAAAAAAAAGTAGAAAAAAACTAAAATAATGGGGTGAGGTGGGGCCCAGCCGAGTACTATTGCTGCCTTTCGTCTTCTTAAAACTTGAGATTTAAGACTTTAAAGAGAAATGATTAAGGGTGGGGCCCACGTGAGTATTTTGCAACAAGTGGGCCCCACCGATTAATAATTGCTTCTCCCTATGAGACTATGACTCTCCAAAATTTTTATTTATTTATTTGTTTATTTTTAATTAAAAAATAAAAAATATAAATATAAAAACACTCCTCACTCTCTCGGTCACTCGCTTCTACGGCCTCAGTTTATTCTTGAAAAAATGGAATAAAATTATAATATTTTATATTAATAAATATTAATAACATTATTAAAAAAAAAAAAAAAAAACCCCCGAAAATAGGAAAGAAATAAAAGAAAAAGGGAAAATAGCGATAAATTTACACGGAGCGGAGATCAGGGTTTCTTCTTCCTTCTCCCGTTTCTCCATGCTTCTCTCTCCACCTTTAATCTCAGGTTTGCCTCCGATTCATCCTTCTTCGTCTTCTTCTTCTTCTTCTTCTTCTTCTTCTTCTTCTTCTTCTTCTTCTTCAATTGGATTGGATTCGATTTTTTTTTCTCTTTTTCTTTTTTTCTTTTGGTGCCCTTGATTTTAGTTTTCTACTTCCCTCGGCTTTAAGGTATTTGTTTGATCGTTTCTCCTTTTCTTCCTTTCTTCACATCTATGTGTTCTTGTTCCTGATTTTTGTGTTGTTTTCTGAATTAGGTTTGTTTTGTGGTGGTGGTTTTAGATTGATTATTGTTATGGAGCTCGTATATGGGAGGTTTTTTGGCTGATTGATTTATGTAAATTCTGGTTTCTTGTTTCTATTTTTTTATTATTGTTTACTGGGACGGTATGCTGGCGATTTCCTTTTTTGTTTGATTGTTTTGGAGTTCAGTTTATTTGATGTTTTATTTCGACTTTGGATTTAACATTCCGATTTCTTTGGTGTTTGTTCTTTTATTTTTGCAGTTCTTTTTTAGAGGGCACCGTGATTTAGTAGTTTGCTGAAGAGATTGTAGATGTTGGGGTTTTGATGACGGGAAAGTAATCTTGTTTGATTCGGGGTGCTTGTGTGCTCTTTGGAAGGAGGGGTGCGGCGCAGAATTGAATCAAGTGGGCCGATGGAAAAAGAGGTTTTGGTTCCGATTAGGGAAAATGTGGCTGATGAAGCTTTAATGTTCGATCACATAAATATGGAAACCAAAACTGAGGAGGATGGAATTGATATTCCAAAGAGCGATGTTTATGCTCCTGCATCAGAGAAAGGCGAGGGAAGTAGTGTTGTATTCTCTAGAGAAGGACCTCTTGTGAAGAAAGAGTCGGTTCTAGCCTTTGGTTGTAATTCCAATGAACAGAGTCCCAAATCCATGCTTGTTGTGACAGATTATAAGCAGGGAAAGAAGGGGAAGTCCGGTCATGAAAAGAAACTTAGCAGACAAGACAGATTCGAGTTGGGCCGGTTGTTTCAGGGTGCTGTAAGCTCACATGATTGGGAACTTGCAGACAGTTTGATCGCGTTGGCAGATCATCAGACGCTTAATGATGCTTTGTGCATCACCTTGGATTCAATCTGGTTTTTGAGCACCCAGCAAGAGCTTAATGGAATAACTGGGTTAATTAAGAACATCATTGTGAGTGGAGCGTATGATTTTACAAGAGCAGCTCTAAGGACCTCATTTCTGGCTTCGTGTGTCTCTGCCTGCCAGAGTCGAACAATGAGTCTTGCGGATACCGTAACTGTAATGGCACAAAGGTGAAGATAAGCTCTTATTACTACATGAGTTGTTTTAATCACAATCAAAACAAATGGGCCCCTTAATGTTTCATTGTGTTTCATGTTGAATCTTAAACACTAACTATTTAAGTTCTGTTCTCATTATGCTCTACTTCCAACGAGTTGTGAGAAGTTAGAAAATATTGATATCTTTCGTTTGGTTTCCTTGAATTAGCTTACTTATAACTATATATGTGGAAATAACTAAACTATGCAAGTCTCGGCTCTGTTATGATGGGGGTGCTCTTAATGTTTTTGGCATGACAAGATACATTTTCTTCTTTGTAGTCTAGTACAAATTGTATAATTTCCATCATTTTTATCTTCCTCAATACTAGTTTTTCATTCACTTTCTTAACTCCTGCTGGTGAGTTCGATCTCAACTGTCCTTTAATCAAAATGTCTATAATGTGGGGCAACGAGCTAATAAGTTTTTACCTGGCACATTGGACACGTTCTTACGTTTGACATTTCATTAATTGCAGGTTGCGTGAGCGTCTCCAAGAATGCAATGGAGATGAGGTCTTAAAAGCAGAGGCTGGTACAAAGGTTCAAAAGTTTACCGAGTGGGCTCTGAAATGCATAGGTTTTCATTCTGGGTGCCAAGGAAATAAGGACCGAGTGACTCAGAGCTCGGCTGCCGAGATCCAACTTCAGTTATCTGCTTTCAAAATGTTCCTAGATTTTGCTGGCAATCAACTTACTGGAAAAGATTTCACGGAGGCCTTCGACGCTGCTTGTTTCCCACTCACTCTCTTTTCTAGTTCATTTGATCCTGGATGGGCAACTGGAATATCAGCAACCGCAATCCAAGGCTTATTGTGTTTGCTGGTGGAGGGTGGCGCTGACAATGTTAACCAGTGCTTCCTTGAAGCTTCTCGTTTTGGAAGCACAGAACTCGTGCGCATTTTATTACAGGTACAGTAAATGATGTTCATATCAGCTACTTATTTCTTGAGAAATATCTGATTTGGTGGAGTTGATAGTGAGCATAATGAAATTACTTTCAAGTCTTTCTTCATACAATTGTTTCACTCGATTGATATTCTTCATGTACTTTTTGCAGCCTTAGTTTTTTACATTAATATTAAGTTTTATCTAAAGTTGGTCTATATTTTTCTACTGCAAATTTGGTGATTGATACAAACAAATTTTTTGAGTTATCTGTAAGAACGTCTGAGAATCTCTCGTACGTCATCTCTTTCGGTTTCACCTTTACATGAATTGGAATGTGTAAAGGGGGTTTACACTCATCTCTTCCTGTTTTTTATGATTTGTCGAATGTGTCTGTAGATTGCTCAAAGGAACAGCTTGGACGTTGATGTTGACCTGGCTTTGGGCTTTGCTTCTCACTACTGTAAGATCGGTACAATGGAGTGCTTGGTGGAAGAGGGTAACGCCATAGCTTTTTTGGGTCCTTTGATGAGAGCAGCTGAAAGGGGATGTTTACCGGTTGTCGAGTGGTTTGTGAAAAGAGGTTGTCAGGACATGGAACTCTGCCTCGCCCTAACAGCAGCCACATCTAGCAGCCAAATTAACGTCGCTGCGTATCTTCTTCCCCACGTACCTCAACACGTGCTCGCTGCCCTCAGCATTGAAATTCTAAAGGCTGCTGGGGAACGGAGTAGTGGTTCTCTTGATGGTGTGGAGTTTCTCCTGCATTCCAACTTTCTTGGCGATCCTTCTGCAACATATGCTGTTGCAGACAGTATCTCGAAGTCGAGTGACGAGTCTGTTGCTCCGGAGCTTAGGGAGTTTCTTCGGGAGCATTGGTCGGAGGCGGCTTACTTGGACGGGTTGAGACAAGGTCAAGAAAATTACTTGAACTTTGTGCGGATTTTGAGGTGGGGTGGATCTCCAATTTCGTTGAGGGATATTCCACCACCCTTGAGAGTTGCAATAGCTTACCTACCGCTGTATAGGGAATGTGTAAAAGTGGATGGATACTTGTTTTCGCAAAAGCTGAGGGGGCAGCTGGTCGAAGCTGCTACGAGGCTTGGTGGTGGTGGTGGTGTGTTAGAAGAGGTAAGCAAAGGTAGGGAGCTCATGGCTGTTTTGGAGCATTATCTTCCTCCATTTTTGCTTCACAAGTTAAATGCTACTTAGCAAGACTTTTCGTATTGCATCTTTCATCGCCCTCCCGTTTAAATGATAAATAAAAAAAGGAAACGAGAACGAAACAATGAACGAGATAGAGAATGAGAAAGATAGCACTGTGAAATGTGTGGTCGATATTCATTTTAACGGGATAGCACGAAGCACTTGCGGTTTGCCTATTTTTCTTTCTAGCCTTCGTGGTTGACTACCTGGCTACTTTCGAGATAGGTGCACTATTTCGAATGGATGGTTCGTCATATCTTATGTTGACTCATGCACATGATGCTATGTAATGTAAGACATGGCGCAACCGTTATTAGAAGGTTCAATCCGAACGATGTGTACATTATTGGTATATATCATCTTTTGTTCTCTGCTTATGTGGATTAATGATACAGAGGAAGCTTAATATTGGGTCATTAGTATTGACAACGTTCATCATGTACCTAGTGTACTTGTCTTGGATTTGGTCGAAGCTAGTTCAGAGGCCAGTAAGAATGTTTTGTTCTTTTTTATCTCTTGCTTTAATAATGAAACTCATGGTTGTGATCATTTCATATTCCCAGATGCACAAAGCGTGATTGAATTTGCTTTGGATCTATAAAAGGAAAAATCAACCCAAATAATGAAAGTCTCAGAGGTGCCTTTATTGAAAAGTTATTTCGATGATTTTACACTATTAAATGTACTCAAAAGGAGGCAACCATATTGTAGAGGCTACCATAGAACGTTCATAGTTAATTTATAACTGAATAACGACGCCTCTTTGGTAATGTAATCTTTGTTCGTTCCGCATTGCAAAACAACACAATGCCACAAGTGAACGCCTCATCTTTTATGCTAACATAAAACTTGAAAGACAATGCTGAACAGAGAAATTTTGAAAATTAAAATCACGAGAACTTACACTCCTTCCTCTCGAGCAGTTTCAGCTGACTTCTGCCTGAGACATCATGTGGCTTTTAGCAATTTGATGAAGCATTCCACCATTAGCAAAGACAACAGAGAAATCACAAGACTGAAAACCCGCAATGTGGAAAACGTTAGATCCTGTTTCTCGACTACTTCAGGTTGTACTCGAACAACGATGCCAGCTCCATCTGTAGGAAATGTGAAATTGGCCAATGAATACACAAGAGTTCCAATAAAAGAATGGTGGAATGGATATTAGGTACAAAAATAGTTTGAATATGGTCGATTGCACAATAACCAACCAACCTATGATGCTTATAACAAACAAATTGATGCTGAAAAAAATGGAGAAACGTGAACATAAGCATCTTTGGATTGTGGCATGTTTTCCCGTCTCTAAACCAAGTTATCTTCCTTGTAATATTTGCTAAAGGAAGATCACCCCAAGGAGTGTGCTGCGGTTCCCATGGATAGGGACGGAGACGGGAAGTTACAATATCGCTTCAGTGATGTTGTTTGCATGAAGCCATGGATGCAGATATGAGACATCCATGGATATGGATACAGACAAATGAAATATGATTACATGTTCGATTGTGAAGTTTGCATTTTTTACCCTGATAAGAGCATTCAAAATGGATTACAAAAGAAAAAGTCACTTCTCAGAAGCTAAGAAAAGCCACTAAATGTAAATCATGCAAAATCTGATAAGATTCAAATATAAACATATATACATACATGAAAATAACAGATTCAACGTTTTTTATCCATATATTGTAAATTTTTTCCCATATATTTTTGCTCTTAAACAACTTACAGCAGTCAAAGCACCCTCAGAACCCTTATTTCCATGTTTACCACCAGCTCGATTGAAAGCCTTCAGACAGGAGAAAGAAAAAAAGGTGGCAAAAAGTAGATAATGATCAGAAATCATGCAGCTCCATAGAAAACAATTCTCTAGGTAAAATACTTGTTAACAGTCAGTTTAGGATCATATTAACCTGGTCCAAGTTGTCACAAGTCAAGACGCTAAATACGCATGGAATTCCTGCATAGGCATCAGAAAAATCGCTTAAGTTTCATCTGGCGTCAACTAAACGATGAAGAAAGAGTAGAATTAAGATGGTAACGTTGATATAAATGGTAGTAAAAAGATGGTTACAGAGATTACTTGCATTGCAGTTATCAACACTTCAACAAGTCTATCAATAAATTTCAACATATGTTTACACACATAAAGGGTAAAAGATAATCCTCATATCAGTTATACAAGAACAAGAACATAGTTAGCTCCCAACAACATAAACTTAAAACCATTATTGTTCTCAATCGAACTATTACCATTGCCTATATTGAAATGCTTTAAAAGAGGCGTTGCTCCTCTGAAATATTACCAATAATCCAACCATTCCATAAAAAAATGAAATACTTCGACTGATGACCATGGCCTTTGACGTTATAAAATCAAATTAATTATAAGAATTGCATAAACGTCCAATTGAGGGAGAAATATAAGCTTTAATTGGAGACACCATTTTTTTTAATAAAGAACTAAGAATGTGCATCTATTTATGAATCTATAACAACCAGATTCTTCTTGTCCTTTTCATACCCTGAAATTCCTTAATCCCTCATGGTTCATAGATGTCAAAACTGGAACGATAAAGTCAACTTCACTTCAATATTTAAGTATTTAGAATCTTATACGCTCTTAAATGTCTCAAGATATGATGGTCTCAAAATTCTAGAACATATCAATTGGATTCAAAAACCTTAACCACCATGCTTAATGCTCAACCATTGAGGTTGAACTTGCAAAAGGTAAGCAAACAGAACAAATATTAGCAAGCAAAATTCAAATTAACAGGGTACTAGTAAACTCAAAAAAAAAAAAAAAAAAAAAAAAAA